AATATGGATTATTTTAAAATATATTTATGCATTCTTACTGCTTAACAAAATATTTCTTATTCTGGTATAGAAGAAAAAAAATTAATTTGCGATAATTATTTCCCCCCCCCCCCAAAAATATATATTAATAATTCATTGTAGCTACTAATTGTCTACAGCAGATGGCAGCGCCTATCTGTCCTTAGTTGATTTTAAAAGTTAAAGAGGATCAGATTTGGATTGGGGCTACTAAATTGGAAAGTCAAAAATAACATCCCACAAGAAAGCATTGAGAAACCCCTATAGTACAGATACTGAAAATTCTCCTTCTGGAAATATCTGTGTGATCAGTATGGGTTGAAGTTCACTCAAGGAGTCATTATCTCTAGCAAGTAGTTATATGAAAGGAAAATATTTTTAATTGTAGCTAGTCCAGAATGCGGCAGAATGGACAGTTACAGACATCCCTTGGTTTGCCCATGTAATACCTCTGTTCCGGGAGCTACAACTACTAGTAGAGTTTCAGATACAACTCAAGGTGCTCATTATCACCTACAAGACCTTTGGTTGCACAGGAATTGAGTATATGAGGGACCTCCTGTCTCTGCTGTAGTGTCTGCCTGTTCTGTTAGATATTACATAATTAGAATGCTTTGGGGTCAGTCAATTAAACTGTGTTATCTGATGGGACCCAGGAAATGGGCCTTTTTTGATTGTAGTGCCTATCCTCTGGAACAATGTCTCACCAGAGATTCATATTGCCCGTAATTGACTCATTTAAAGCCAGTTTTTGCCTTGGGCTCATTTGATTGGTCGGCCCCTTGTGAGAATGCTATTATGCTTGAAAAAGTACTTGTTTTGTTCTTTTATGGATGTTCACCATTTTTATTTGTTGTGTGCTTGTTTCCATCTGTTTTTTATACTGTACACTGTCTAGAGTCATGGGGTTGAGTGGTCTTGCAGATTTGATAATGATGTTTAATAAATGTTTGACTTCGTTCATGTTTAAAAGAAGTTAATATAACTTTTCAACTAGAATTGCCTTGGTGACGTCTACAGATGGAAGTATCTATTCATTGGCAGAGATGTTGCCCTTTTTTTACTGCAAAAAAGGTATACATATTTTCATGTACAGGTAGTCCTTGACTTACAACCAGTTGCTTAGTGACCACTCAGAGTTATGATGGACCCTGAAAAAGATACTTGTGATCCAGATTTGAAAATCATCTAGCCATCGCCCTCTTACCTCAGGTTTTTTTGTTGGAAACCAGCATTTACCTACAGTTTCCAGTAAAACATGCCCTTTATGGATAATGGGTTCAGTTAATGACTGCAGATTCACTTAACAACCATGGTGATTGCTCAATGAGTTCTGCAAAAAAATATAAAATCAAGTTGTAAAATGGACCTGCTCAATGATTGGCATTTAAAACCATAATTCTGGTCTTAATTACAGTCATAAGTGAAAGAGTACTAAATATATAAAGCAAAGAGGTTGTGTGGGGCTTAAGAAAACCCTAAAATCCACAAAGGAAATACTTTATTAAGTCAACTGAAAGATTATCAAAGCTTCATGCTTTCCAATTTCTTAAATTTCACCATTAGGTAGAAACATTTAAACTCAGATTTAAATACAATGAGGACTCTTTGAATCTATACAAAGTATCTTCTTAAATGCATTGAGAGACAGGTTTCAGATACTGAATCTCCCCACAGCTTGCTCTTTCAGCCCAGTGACAAATACATCAAATTTTTTGGCAAGCAAGAAACAGAATAGAATTCAATATAGAATTTTTTATAGTAACAGACCTGGAGATAATTTAAGATATTTCATGAATTAACAATTAAGTCAAAACTATATAGAATATGCTTATTTAATGGTGGAAAAGAATCCACCTCCAATAGAGGAATCCCAGCAAAGATCATGTCAAGTCTTGGTTACTGCAACATGGCTCTATTCAGTTCCCATTATGTTGGCTTTTCTAAACTAAATTTCAAAATTGTGTAATGATGTTTCAGCCCATTTGTCAAATACTTACATTTATTCTTCAAGGAATATGTAATGTATTGTTTTATTCTAATTTATCCTGCATAATTTATGTTAGTAAAGTTTGAATAGAATATCACCAATCATTAATGTCTCACCAAGTCAAAATAATATCTCAACAACTCTGCAAGCATAATGAAGTGACAGGGTCTCACTCTCCCTCACTGAAGGTCTGGCTGAAGACTTTTGTGAGACTTCTAAACATCAGCAGAATGGAGTCCATCTGGATTTTGTGGGGGGGACCTCATTCCAGAGGGCAGGCATTGCTACAGAAAATATGAAAGGTAGATATATGGCAGCCAGCATTAATCTTTATTTTGTAAACACAATGTATTAGATTCATATTTATAAGCTTTGCTGATCAAATGCAGATGCGAATTTGTTATCATATTTCCTGATCAGGTGGCAATACCACTTGATAATATGAATTTGAAATCAGATTCTAGTGTTTTGTGTTTGAGCCCTGCATAGACCAAGTGTTGGGAATCATTCCGATTCAGGGCTCGCTTTCTTGTAAGGCCTATAGAAACCTACGTTTTTGCCTTCAGGAGAATGTTTCACATCAGAGTCCCAAAACTATTTTAGCTCTCAGTAATCTGTGTAAAAGAAGCTAGCATTAGAACAGATAACTAGTGTAATCTTAAATCCCTAGAGTATTTGCTTTGGCAGAAATCTAATCATTTGGTGAGAGTTGGGAAGCAGGGTGGAAAATTTGCTTTGGAAGTTGGCTATCTTGGGAAATCAAGTTTAAGAAAAGGTAAGGAATAAATCAGTGCACAGTAGTGGGACTTGCCTCTGTGTTTTTCAAATAGCATTTTAAATGATACCTTAGCCTAGTTTTAATGTATTACCATTGTCATCCCTGAGACAAAATATACATATAGTTATGCTTCTTTACTTTTTTTGTCAATGTCTGTCTTTTTAGCAATGTCCAAAAATACTATTTGTATACATAGTATGTTGTCCCTAGGAATCAATATGGTTCATATTTCATTTTGAGAAGAAATTCTGGATGTTCATATATCTGTATACAGATACAGGCCAATACATTTCTGCTTTTTTATATTATATTTTTTCCAATAACCTAGAAGGTGATAAAAAGACTTAATACTATCAGTCAGCATTCACTTTCCTTTTTCTGTTTCCTTAAGACATCCTTAAGATTTTCAGGTATTTTTGACACACTTGATTCTATCTTACCTACTAATCTGACAAAGTGCCTGAAAGTTAGTATGTAATAGTAAGTACAGATTTTAGTTTGAAATTACAAATGGTTCTGCTCATAGGTGTTTTGGCAGAAAAATCGTGGTGTCCTGTGTTAAGACCAGTTTTTGTACCTATTGACCTTTTTTCCTAAAGGTTTGCACATATATGTAGGAATTAGCAAGTAGTATTCTTGATTTGTTTACTGCATTTTAGATGTTGACACCTGGGGTGGAGTTGGAGATGAGGAAAAAAGAGAGAAGAGAATAGGCAAGTTATTTGGAGAGAAAGGAACTTAGGTATATTATGCATCTGAATTTAAATACAGTATATAGCTAAGAGTTTATTTTTCCAAACCAAAAATTTCCTTCCTCCTCTTCTTTTTCTTTTCCATGTGAGGCAATATTCTGCATTATTCTGGTACATTTAATTGAAGAAATACTGAGCAATGACTATAGATGATGGCTGAAGTCTTCGACAACTTCCAAGCTTTTAAACTATAGCCAATATACGAGACTCCTTTTAGCATGAAGAACAGAAAACACTTCAAACTAATATATACAAAAATTCTAGTTATGAATTTTCTCAAAACATACTTTGCATTTAATCATTGATCCTTTTGCATTATGACTGCATGCTGAGAACAAATTATAACATTTCCAATACAGTAAATAACATTTCAAAATTGCCCTGTTCACAAGCAAAGCATGATGTTTGTGTGATCGGTTATAATAGCTTAAAAGTATTAAGTGTTTTTTAGAATTATGTATGTTGAGAAATGAAAGTTTAATAGCAAGTTCAAACATATATTTAGTTGTGCATGAAGCTAGAAAACATACCGCAGCATTATGAAGAACTGTAACATGCATATTTTCTACAGCTTTGTAAAATTATAGAAAGTACAAAAAAAATTTAAATGCATTTTCAGGGGCAATAGTTTTGTCAAGAGCAATACATATATACTTATATCTATATATGGACTTTTTTTCTCTCAATAGCCATAGATTGTAAGCAAAAAAAATCAAGATCAAGATCTGGAAGCAAGAAAAAAATTCTACCATTACCTCATGGTGCTGATGAAGTTTACATACTCCGGTGCAGGTATATATATAGACATATAATAAGTTAATTGTTAATAAGAGTTTATTGGAGTTTTTATTTAAGTAGATCTATGTTCCGAGTACGTACTTGAGATGAATAACAGTATTAACTAAATGACTTTCACTATTTAATAATACAGATAAAATCTTAACAAAAGAAGACTGGAATATGTTTTGAGTCTGTGGCATATTGCCACATGGTTTAAGATACAGACATGTCATTGAAAAACTTATAAAACCAGCAAACCTGAAGTTTTGCAATTTTCAGTTAAAACATTGATGAGAGCCAAAGAGGATATAAAGAATTAATAATGCTGTGAGCAAGTACAGTAGTTAAGTACCACCATATCTGCCAGTATCTTCCAAAATTTTAGTAACTTTGTATCAGTTTTCTGCACCATTATTTAACTTTATTGGGTGGAGCAATACTTTTCTTATATTGGGTGAAAGCAGAATGTTTTGATCCCTCTGCTATTGTAGATTGCTACAGTGTATCAGGTTCATGTCAAAACAAAACTTTCCAACAAATCAACTAAATCAGTGTTTCTCAACCTTGGCAACTTGAAGATGTCTGGACTTCAAGTCCCAGAAGTTCCCAGCCAGCAAATGCTGGCTGGGGAATTCTGGGAGTTGAAGTCCAGACATCTTCAAGTTGCCAAGGTTGAGAAACACTGAACTAAATCATTGATTTTTAATTCCAATTCAAATGCTAGTTATTAGAGCCAAGGTGGCGCAGTGGTTAAATGCAGCACTGCAGGCTACTGCTAGATCAGCAGTTCAGCGGTTCAAATCTCACCGGCTCAGGGTTGACTCANATATTTCTAGAGTTCCTATAGCTTACTTTGCATGTCTCTTGCAACTGTTTCATTATATCATCACTGAAATGAATTTTTGTCCAAGATGAAAGCAAATGCATTTTACACTTAATTAACACAGTTTATAGTTTATAGTTTTATTGATTTGTATGCCGCCCACTCCCGAAGGACTCCGGGCGGCTTACAATAAAACAAGGGAGGGGGGATAATACACAAACAACTAGAAGATGCATGCACTTTGACAATAATAGTGGCAAGAATTACCTATTGATTACTTCATGAAATTCTGGAGTTTTTAAAGACTTCTGAAAATACATCTGTTCTTGGACTGAACTTGCTGAGATGGTTTCCCCTGGCAGCTGTCTGAAATCTTTTCTACTTGTAGATGATCTTCCAGACAGCGGAATGATTGATGTCCAATTGTTTGAGAATCTTTAAATCCCTTCCTGGATTCATAGGTATCTATAACCTCCTTTCGGAAAACCTCAAAAGAGCTCTTTTGATCTATGCATGGGAATACCACACACTTCTACAACAAAGAGCAAATCAAACTAAATGTCTGTGGTTTAAATAAGACAGTTCTTTCTAGATCCCATCTAGCCATGTTCTATTCATGTACACCTAATCTAATTCTAATTTTAGGTATTTGTAGCAGTGAAAACTGTAAGGATGCACTTATTTTCTTGCAGATGTTTCATTACCCAAACTAGGTAACATTATTAATTTGGGTAATGAAACATCTGCGCAAAAAACAGCCAAGTTCAGATAACACCAAGGACCCCTCATTTGAATCCTGAGCTGCAAATATTGGTACCCTAAGCCATATCTAGTGTTTACCAGGCAAAAGTGCTAGTTTGGGAGATTCCTGTTAAATCGGCATAGAACAATAAAATATTACTTTGACCTCTACAAGTGCTCCAATGACAAAATAGGTTTTACTTAAGTTTTTGTTGATTTTATACATTTGTACAAGTCCAAAAGTAGAAAATCAAACCTTTATTTCAGAATAAGGAGAGATTCAAATCAGGAAGTTGTCAAAATATCATTGCAAGTAATCAATACTTCTAATTAAAAAATAACATGTTAGTAAGATGTAAGCTTATTCTGCTTCATCCTCTTTATAAGGTATTGTGCTGAATAGTAGATATTCATTTCAACACCTATATTTGTTGGTAGAATTTTTTTTCATAATCATTTTAATGCAGTGTTCCCCAATTTTTCCAGGTTTGTGAGCTGGCAGGGGATGGTGGGGAGGGGATGGTTCTTTGTGAGTGGTGGGCAAGCACACATGCACGCAGCTCCTTTGCACCCGCCGTTCGTGCAAATGGAACGTGCACAAGCTCTGGCCCACCACTTTGGGCGGCTCAGTTCTCAACAGCAGTGGACCATGGCCCATCGGTTGGGGACCCCTGTTCTAGTGGTTTATTCTCATAGCATGTAAATCTTTTGCATTTTTCATAGAATAATTCTTAAAATTTATTTACAGCATTTTTAAAGAAATGATGTTTACCTTCATTTGATCTCACTGAACCTTGTGGCTAAAATTACCCAAGATAATGTTAATATGGATTATTTTAAAATATATTTATGCATTCTTACTGCTTAACAAAATATTTCTTATTCTGGTATAGAAGAAAAAAAATTAATTTGCGATAATTATTTCCCCCCCCCCCCAAAAATATATATTAATAATTCATTGTAGCTACTAATTGTCTACAGCAGATGGCAGCGCCTATCTGTCCTTAGTTGATTTTAAAAGTTAAAGAGGATCAGATTTGGATTGGGGCTACTAAATTGGAAAGTCAAAAATAACATCCCACAAGAAAGCATTGAGAAACCCCTATAGTACAGATACTGAAAATTCTCCTTCTGGAAATATCTGTGTGATCAGTATGGGTTGAAGTTCACTCAAGGAGTCATTATCTCTAGCAAGTAGTTATATGAAAGGAAAATATTTTTAATTGTAGCTAGTTCAGAATGCGGCAGAATGGACAGTTACAGACATCCCTTGGTTTGCCCATGTAATACCTCTGTTCCGGGAGCTACAACTACTAGTAGAGTTTCAGATACAACTCAAGGTGCTCATTATCACCTACAAGACCTTTGGTTGCACAGGAATTGAGTATATGAGGGACCTCCTGTCTCTGCTGTAGTGTCTGCCTGTTCTGTTAGATATTACATAATTAGAATGCTTTGGGGTCAGTCAATTAAACTGTGTTATCTGATGGGACCCAGGAAATGGGCCTTTTTTGATTGTAGTGCCTATCCTCTGGAACAATGTCTCACCAGAGATTCATATTGCCCGTAATTGACTCATTTAAAGCCAGTTTTTGCCTTGGGCTCATTTGATTGGTCGGCCCCTTGTGAGAATGCTATTATGCTTGAAAAAGTACTTGTTTTGTTCTTTTATGGATGTTCACCATTTTTATTTGTTGTGTGCTTGTTTCCATCTGTTTTTTATACTGTACACTGTCTAGAGTCATGGGGTTGAGTGGTCTTGCAGATTTGATAATGATGTTTAATAAATGTTTGACTTCGTTCATGTTTAAAAGAAGTTAATATAACTTTTCAACTAGAATTGCCTTGGTGACGTCTACAGATGGAAGTATCTATTCATTGGCAGAGATGTTGCCCTTTTTTTACTGCAAAAAAGGTATACATATTTTCATGTACAGGTAGTCCTTGACTTACAACCAGTTGCTTAGTGACCACTCAGAGTTATGATGGACCCTGAAAAAGATACTTGTGATCCAGATTTGAAAATCATCTAGCCATCGCCCTCTT